GAGAGAGAGAGAGAGAGAGAGAGAGAGAGAGAGAGAGAGAGAGAGAGAGAGGAGCATTGGTGCAGAAGTCCAGTAGTGGGGTACGGCCCGTACAAGGGAGAGAGAGAGAGAGAGAGAGAGCTGGCAGTTTAGTTTGTAGTGGGAGGGAAGAGGAAGTGTGCACAAGAAATGAGGGGGATGTGGAAACGTGCTGAATGTTTCTGATGTGTTAAGGTAAGGCACAAGTATTGAGTCGGTGACTGGTTTTTGTAGTTCCAGTGATGTAGAGAAAACTGTTGTGTAGTGTGGAGGCCCTCCAAATTGGCAATTCATAGTAAAGGATGTACATTTTCCTGTACACAAGAGAGAGAGGTAGCGGGGATTACGGTGGGAAGGGGTAATAGAGGGGAGATGGGGAGTGAAGATAGGGATGGAGAGTTTGTGGGCGATTGGAAGATCGACGGTGATGTGCGCTTTGATTTAGGTTGTTGATTACCCCTTTGATTGGGTAATTGCTGCTGGATTGCGGCAGGGTAAAATGTCTGTGTTCCTTCTGTTTCAGAAAAGGAGCTTTGTAATTAAAAATCTCTACTCGGTCAAGTACGTAGAATTCTGTGTTTCTTCATTGCCTGGCGATTTTCATTTTTTACAATTTAAAGACTCAAATCAAGTTGGTATTGTCAGTGTTTGATTTTTTATTAGATTGCTTTGTATAGCATTCTTCTGTTTGCCCCGGCCCAATCTTCAGCTCTCTCGTCGTAGTCGAAAGGCTATCGAATGGCAGGCACACCCTTTGAAAAGCCCATGGATGTGTACACCGTGGGGGGTTCGCTGCATCAATGACGTCTTGTTGAGGATTTGATAATCTTTTGTTTTTTTGTTTTGTTTTTGAAAAACCGGTTCCTCTGCAAGAAGAGGTGATCTCACGGCCTAAACCAAGTTTTTTGCTGCTTTCTGAGGTAGGTTTTTGTTGCTTTTTTTGTCCCTTCTGTTTTTCTTTCCTCCGATCCTGTTCTTACCGAACCTGAATTTCACTGCGCAACGAGTTTTGCCGACCCTAGGTCCATGAAAAAAAAAGGAGTTTTGTCATTTCATTTATGGTACTCGCACAAAAAAAAAGAAAAAGAAAAAAAGCTCGATTTCATCACGGCAAGGACAAACGAAAAAACTAAGGACGCTACGGACGCAAACAGAGTTGGGATGTGAGACTATGGCCTCACACAGTTTCTGTTCAGCGGTTTGGTCATCACGGAAGATGCTACAAGGAGTGAGCAACCTGGAGAAAAACTTAAATGAACGACCCTATGCATGTTAAATTGGTTAGATGCAGAATCGTTTGTGCGTCTGAGACTGTGCCTTCAGTCAGATGCCTCACAGCGACGCATTCATCATGGCAGTATAATCCACAATGAAAAAAGAAGAAAAAAGAAAAACTATGATATGGGCGTGAATTCATTTTGATACAGACTCTGCAGTACATGTGAAAGTGGGAGGCTCTCCGTGTGTCAGCGCTCCGTACAAAGCGCCCTGTGCGAAAACAATAGAAGAGAAACAGACAACAGAAAAGACTGAAGCTGCAGCTTTACGTGATAGCAGTCCGATGCATTCCTAGAAGTAGTGGTGTGTGATCACACACCTCGTCCCTGACGTCTTTCCTCAGTGGAGTCAGCGCACAGTTGGCTTCTTCTCCTTTTTTTTTTCCTTGTCGCAAGAGGGCACACAATGCCCAAACATTTATTTTCCCCTGAGCCTCATCGGAACCCCCTAAACATGCGGTGTGACGTATATTCGAGTTTTTCCCAACACGGAGAAAGGTAGTGGTGGCTTAAGCTGTGTCTTCTCTTCATCGGGGGGCAACCTATTTCTCTCAGTTCTTTTTGCCAGATTGCAGTCCCAAATGTCCCTGTATCAGTGTGGTCAGGATTTAAATCTGTCCTCCGCTTTTAACTGCTATGTCTGTGTACCTACCTAGGCTACCAGAGGACCACTTGCCCGGCCGGGCCAAAAAATAAAAAATAAAAAATAAAAAGGTAGTTTGAATTTGGTAAAGAATTTCGATGCGACCCTGAGGCAAAAATTGTTCAGTATATTTTTCTGACCCTGAGGCAAAAAATAAAAAGGTAGTTTGAATTTGGTAAAGAACTTCGCACACATGCAAACAGATGGAGACTCACACTGGCGCAGGGCGCCCACTCAAAGCTTAGAGATATGGAAATAAAAAACACAGTTCAGATGCAAGCTCTCTTCAACAGGCTATGGCGCATTAGCGCCTGAACATCCCAACCTTCGTCACTGTGTCCAACCCCACTGTTCACACACGCTCACTCTGGATCACCCTGAATACCACCACACCCATACGCTATGTCTAACTTCGTCTTACAGCGGCTATGACCGCACTACCACTACTGACTATGGCTACGATCTGATCCCAGTTGATCTGATCAGGTCTAATATACATCCTCAGAACTTGCTGCAGGAGCTTGTTCATCTGTTCAGTCTGACCGTTAGTCTCAGGATGACGGCCAGATGACATCAGCAGCTTGGAACCATAGTGGTCAAAAAACTTCTGAACTGCTAAGTCTGTGCGTGCCTCTGCAGGCAAAGGAACAAAAACTGCATATTTGCTAAACCTATCAAATATGACCATGAGTTGACTTTGGCCATGCCTACTCTTGACCTGAGTATCCATAAAGTCAATGGACACAGAATCTCCAGGTCTATCAGGAATAGGCAAGGGTCTGAGAAGACCAAGAGGGGCTCGCGTAGTAGTCTTGTTTCGCTGACAGACTTTGCAACTGCGGACATACTCTATGCAGTCGGCTTTCATACCAGGCCAGATGTACGCGCACGTGAGGTTGGCTAGTGTCTTTTGCCAACCAAAGTGTCCCTCTGAATCATGGCATTCCCCTAAGATCAAACTCCGGATCTCTTCGCTGTTGGGAACGCACAGGCGGTCAACTACATTAGGCTTCTTGAATAATAAGCCATTAGTAGTGCGGTAGTTTGGCTCAGACTCTGGGGCCTCCCCAACTCTCTTGAAGAGATCACTATAGATAGGGTCCTGTGCATATGCCTCTCTAACTTTCTGTTGCAGGTCTCTCCCTATATCTAGATAGTGAACTATGCCCCAAAGTAATCAGCTCTTCTACTCAGAGGGTCCGCTACTACATTGTACTTCCCTTGAACTGGCTTCAATTCAAAGTCATACTGGTCTAACTCTGCGGCCCACCTAGTAAGCTTAGGTGTCATCTTGGCCTGAGTCTTCAGCCACCATAGAGTCTCGTGGTCTGAATAGACTTTGAAGTGCCTCCCAAGCAAGTAATGCTTCTAGTGATCTAATGCTTGCCTGAGAGCGTAGAGTTCCCTTTCATAAGTGGATGTCGCCACCTCTTCTGAAGGCATCCTGGTGGACATGAACTCTACGGGCCTATATCCATTGCCATCATCTTCCTGTAAAACAACGCCTATGCCATACTGACTGGCGTCAGTGGTAACAACAAATGGCAGGGACAGTTTGGCTACCTTCAAGACTGGATATTCTATCAGGGCCCACTTCAATCTCTTCAGGGCAGCTGTGCAGTCCTTGTCCCACTTCCAAATTGCCTTTCTTTAGCAACCTGCGAAGGGGTGCAGCGATGGTGGAGAAGTTCCCTTTTTTTTTTTTTTTTTTTTTTTTGAGAGAGACAGAGAGAGAACAACCCGATCGGTTGCTAGCTGTGCTGATAAGAGCAGACACATCTAGCACCGTCGGGGAGGCTCCATCTATTGGTGGGGAGCAGCACCTGCTGGCGGGTCCAGCATCCCTTTGATACATCGTACAATACAGAGAATGCTGTTTGTTGTTTGTCGGGGCTGCGTTCAATTCAGACTCAGCTTGGGGCTCCGAAATCCCATGGAGCTGCTAGTGTCACCCATTCCTTCTTAGGAGCACCTCTCATCTAGTAACCCAGCCCTATCTCAGCAGCCCCCTTGGATGTATGTGGGTCTCTCCATTTAACCCTTGTACCAATGATCTCGCAGAACATGCAGAAGACCCATCCCCGATCCTTGGGTGAGTGATAGAAAGGCGTAGCCCAATCTCAGCCGCCCCCTTGATTTGAGCATAGCTGTGCTTGCCCATTTCAACCCTTTAAACCCTATACCCTCTCAAACCCAGAACGTGATCCATACATGGTTCTTGAGTAAGTATCAAGCCCGTTTCAAACCCTTTAAACCCTATACCCTCTCAATGCCTTGAATCATGAACCGTTCGTAGTACTTGAGCAAGTATCAAAGGGAGCAGCCCTAGAAGGTGTCTACTCCACTCTGCAAAAAGGCCACCAGATAAATCACCCACAACCTTGTCTTCCGTTGTTCCGTCTTTCCTATTTTGCACAGAAGCGGCTTGTTGTTTCCCTGTCCCGTGTGGCTCCTCAGGATACTATGTGCTTCTCCCAGCCCCTGTACCAGAGGACACATTGTCGCCTTGTCCGAGGTGTATGCCTTCTGAATCCCTTCGAGGTACTATTTTGAGGAGTGTGGATTTCGTGTGTTCCTGACGAACTTCCTATAGTAATTAGCTAGGCCTAAGAACATCCGCAACTCTGTCAGTGTGCGGTGCGTAGGCCAATCTCTAATCGCTGCGATTTTGCTGTCTTCAGGTCTAACGCTGTCTCCGTCTAAGACGTGGCCCAGGTACAAAACCTATGTCTTGGCCCACTCGCACTGCTTTGCGTTGATCTTGAAGTTGGCCTCTCTAAGCTTCTCCAAGACCTGCCTCAGATGACCCTCATGCTCCTGGAGGTTCTTGCTGAACACTAGAATATCATCTAGATATACTACAACAAATCTATCTAACCACGGCCTAAACAAATCTTTTATGCAGCACTGGAAAGTTGATGGCGCATTGGTTAATCCAAAGGGCATAACTATAAACTCGTAGTGCCCGTATCTAGTCCGAAATGCTGTCTTGTACTAATCATCAGAATGAACCTCTATCTGATGATAGCCGGAGTTTAAATCTATCTTCGAAAAATACTTGCAGCCCTGCACTCTGTCTAACAGATCGTGTATACGTGGCAGTGGTTCTGCATTCTTCACTGTGATAGCATTAAGACCCCTATCATCTATACACATTCTAAGCTCTCCCTCGTTGTTGGGGACGAAGAGAACAAGTGCTCCAAATGGAGATGAACTGGGCCTAATCCAACCCTTCTCGAGGAGCTCGTCTAACTGCTTACGTAGCTCCTCTAACTCCCTTGGGGACATTCTGTAAATCGTTCCCTTAGGAGTCCTACTGCCAGGCTCTATCTCTATGCGATGCTAGATCGGCCACAGCACTATTCCTGTAGGCGCCTTAACTAGGTCTATATATTCTTCCAACAACTTGGCAATAGCAAGGTCTATGGGTGTCTCCTCCTTAGGCCTAGTGACATGCCTTCCGTAGGCTACGAAAACCTGCTCTTCTAACTGCTGCCCCTTTACTAATCATGCGAACGTGGGAGCGCTGAGGCAGCAATGTGCCAGGGTGTTGTCTACTCCAGACACATGGAACAGGCGAGAAGTCTTAACTTCACTTGTGGGACTAGGGAGCCAACATTCCTGCTCTCTCAAATGGAGTGTGGCCCCTGCGGCCTCTCCCCAGTCCATTCCTAGGACTATATCAAAAGGAAGACTGTCTTTTACGAGGAGAGTCGGGGAATGGA